ACATGCAACAACACAATAATAAGAACAAAACGTTTTAACTCTCCATAAATTTTTGTTAGTTGAGGTGCAATTATATTTAGAAGCTTTTTGGGAATGGAAAGGGTCTTTTTTTATTAAAACGCCCTTACTGGGGTGAAATATAAGCCCTAGGTCAGCACTGTGAGGGCTGGTGAGAAATAAACAATTTTTTTCCAGGCGAGGGTGGAATAAAATATTTTTTGCTGATGAGGGACGATTACTTTGAAATGAAAGGTAGATGTGGGTCGCTTATACAGTGTGTCCCAAAAATTATGGAACAAAATTCTTTTTTTTCCAATTGAAGTATAAAAAAATAATATAGAAAGTAAGGTAAAAGTAGATAAAAATAAATATGTTTGTAGCGATCCTATTTGGAATGCAGAAAAAATAAGAACAAATTAGCTCGTTAGTTTACTTCTCTTTTTACTAATTATTTTTTTGAGGACTCCGTTTCAACAAAAGAATGTTTTTGTTCAAAAATTTTTAAACATTTAATAGCTAAATTATTTAGAATTTACTGATTAACCATGATTTTTTATTATTTTATTTTTATGTAAGTTTGCTACATTGCTTTTCAATTTGAGATTTTTGGTTAGGCAAAACTATTTCCATAAAAATAACTCCCGACCTTTTGGCAGAAAGAAAGAAAAACAAAAGCTGTACCACAAATAAGTCTTTCTTTTCTACAGAACAAACATTTTATTTAATCGATTATAGATTATATTCATTTTCCTAATTTTTTTTATCGTAAATGCAACATTGATTCAAGTGTAAAACTTTACGTTTTCTTTTTTAGTATTTAATCGCATATTGCACTGTGAAACACTCACCTTAAAGAAAAGAGCATTACATTTTTACTGTTTTACTTATATAAAACCTGGTTATAAAGCAAAAACATATTTGAAAGATTTACTCTTAACAATTAAGTTGTAAAATTTTATAGATTATTTCGTTATGAATCCTGAGTCTTCATCGAAGCTTTTTAACAAGAGTTGACTGACGTATTTTATGATGATGATATTTCATGACCCTATAACCTCAGATTTATTCATTTCTTTTATAGCAGAAAGTTACGACTATTTTAGTTTTGAAATCTCGTAAAAGAACATTTGGAAATTACCAAACTGTCTGCACACGAACGTAACTACAATAATTTAAAATATTTTTATTAATGCAAAAAGTAAAAAATAGTAAACTGTTAGTTTTTACCCCTATACACCCATGAATAGACGTCACATTAAAAAAATTACCATAATCAATGAAAAAGATACTGTTCGATAGAGTTGTAGTATTCTGCTGGTTTCTCACAGGAGAATAGCAATTAACAGTGACATTTACTACACCAAATCGCCTCTGAGTGAAATCTGAAATATTATTCTGTTTTTACGAAAAATACAAAATTGTTTAGCATACACACATTTTTAGTCATATTTGCGTTTAAATTAAACCGTAGGTAAAAAAATATAAAAAAACGCAATCTAAATATGTGTTGAATTTAACCTCTATTATCGAAACTGACCATTTCGCGACTTTTTGTTTCGGTAAACTGAATTTATCACTGTAGATGCTAAATATTATGTACAATAACATATTAGTTTCCACAGTCATAAAAATGGGGGGAAGATTGTTTACAGGGTGATTAATTGTATATTTTTACGTAAATTCACGTTTTAGATTCCAAATTTCATGTGAGTTATTAGACAGTGATAAGAAATGAGAGGATGCGATGCCAAAAACGTTCTGGTAATAATAACGCAGTTTATAAATGTTTAATTCAAAAGTCATAAGTAAATTTCTTCTGTTTATAATTTTTGATCTAATAAATATTTTTTGACGCTCGAGGGCTAGTTTTGTAGGTCTTTTGAAGACGAAAAAAAAGAACTTTACTGTTTTCTCGTGGAAATGAACGGAAAAAAGTTATAAGCGAAAAACGTGAATTTACGTAAAAATTATACAATTAACCAGCCTGTCTTCCCCCATTTTTATAACTGTGGAAACTAATATGTTATCGTACATAATATTTAGCATCTATAGTGATAAATTCAGCTTGCCGAAACAAAAAGTCGCGTCCAACTATATATTTTTCCTGGACTAAGTTCCCCTGTTGAATAAAATCGTGACTTATATAGCCCGAATTAATCAAATAAGATCGCTTCAAGGACTGCCTGAAATCATCCAGATTGTTTTTAATATATCTCACAGTTTTTTTACCAATTAAGTCCGCGAACGTCGCTACTCACGTCGCCGCCGTCGAAAATAAACGTGACCCTGTTTCTTAATAGGTCTTTCTTCGGAGTTTAACTTGCGCGACGTGAACCAAGAAAGTGTCGCGAGGAAAAGGAAAAGTTTCATTGAATCCACATTCAAATACAAAGCGCGATCCGCTAGGTCCATCAGTATTCCAATCCCCGGGCACAGATTGGTCCTGGGGTAAAGCTTAGTAAATGGTGAATTAATTGCTTCTGTTCAGCATTAATTTCGCCGTTTCGGTGAATAGTTAGAAACTTAATTGAACAGGGTCGTATCCGTATATGAAATTCTGCGTTCGCAGCGTTTCGTCTACATTCACCGTTTATCAGCAGCATACCTACCAATTTACGATAACAGTAATTGTATGACATGTAGTATATGTGCAATAATTAATTAAACGAAAGGCACTCATTAGGGGCTAGCCCAAATACTTGTCTGGGTTCCACTTACATCATATGGTATCTTTAGCTATGAAAGCAGACAAAAAAAATATCGCTACAAATTTTGATAACAAAAAGATATTGATCGAAGCAAAGGTATTAGGTATATAAGTACATACTTCTTACGAAAATAATTGTATTTAAAATAAATAAATGGCGAGAACAAATACTATGCCCAGAAAACCTATGCAAAGATAGTGCAAGAAGAGGATGGTTGATATATGCACTAGTGTACAGCATTGAATAAATACTTTTATCTCATAGTTCTGTTTATATTAAGCTTACACAGATTCCATATTTGCATCAGACGAATAGAGTACATTTTTAAACTTATATCTTACACTTGAGTCTCCAATTGAATAGTGATGTGTATTTTTTACTGGTCTGGAATTTTCAGTGTGCAATTAGGCAAAGATAGCAAAATAGCAAAAATAACAATAAAGATTTTTAATTGCAGTGGTAGATGTACCAAAAAACAGCCGACAAAACTTTCAGACTTGATTCAAAATGTCGAGATATTTTAAAAAGGTTATTTAAAACGACTTAAAAATTATTGAGCCGCGGGACATAGGCGTACGCATTATTTATTAAAAAGCGACAAATTAAATTGTCTACAATACACCACCACAAACACTAACCGATAGGAATTAATTACTCAACATCCGCACCATAGCAAAGGCAACAGTATACTAAAGTGACGTGAACGTGAAAAGCATTCTGACGCAGCGGCTCACGCATGTCTGTTGACCCGTTTGGCACGCCATTGAATTGCGGCTCTCTCTGACAGACTTAATTATAACCAATATGTTTTTGATATTTTTTTTCAAACTAACCGAGAAAAAACAAATTTCTTCCATTTCATTCAAGACGTATTAAAAAACAATTTTTTTTTAAATGCCGCTGGAGAAGCATCTTCAAGCTTATTTCCTTTAAAATCCAAGGATAAATACGAGAAGGTATATGAAATATGTTGTAAGTGGAAGATGACAAGAAAATGCACTAAGTATTGATGAAAGTGTAATGCTACCGTATTTTTTGATAATCTGAGTTATTTTTATACATATTTTAGTGTTTTTCATACAAAGTCTCTCGTTATTTTAGTCAAAATCTCTTTAGGCATACAGTTTATGGTCTACATATTCCATGTTGAAAAGTATTATACAAATAAACGAAAATATGGATATATCACAATATAAAAAGCTACTTACTTTTTAAAACGTCAAAATGACGCATACGAAGCAAAGAAATCAAAAGGTTTCACTATGGAAATGTTTTTAAAAGAGGCTCCACACAATCAGTTCTCTTATTAATGAAAATGGTACTAATATTTGGTTTAAATGGGGCATATCGGCGTGTAGAATTGTGCAGTATATCTGTTAGATATAGAAGACACGTGGAAAATTTTGGTTATAACTTTACATGATACCAAAACCAAAAAGAATCTCTGGAAAAAAGGATATCTCGGCCCAGAAAGGGCGTAGGGCATATTTTTTTTAAATCTTTGTTTTTTTACCAGCTATCCAGTGATATGACTGTCGTGTTCCTGAGACCAGTAGTTCCGGAGTTACTTCTATTTATTTATAAAAAAAATACCCCTTTTTGCATTAAAAAAAATGCAAAATTGAAAAAAATCGATTTTTTTAACATACCATAATTTTCACTTTTAATTATCATTTCCCGGCGTTTAAATTGATTTTTGTCACTAACCTAGCTCAATCGTTTAAAAAAATTGTGTTTAGGGTAAACAAATGCAATTATTCATAAACTATTGGACCGGGCCCAATTTGTGGCCACATATAAAGGGTTATAATACCCTCATTTTTAGTAGATTAAAAAATGACCATTATTGCAAAAAATATTAACAATTAAAAACAGTGCAAAAATGCATGTTTTTGCAATTATCTCGATAAATAATGCACCGATTTTAATGCATAAAAAATGAAATTGTAGATTTTTTTAATACCTACAACTTCATATGAAGACTTTTTCTCTATCTTGCCTCTGAAAAATTATATTTGAGAAAAACCTCATTTTGACTCCTTTGACCATTGTTTATTCGAATTAGGGGCAAAATTGGCTGTACTAATTTATGTATTTTTCATTAACTATCCCCCCCCCCCATACAAGATCCCGTCGTCAGATTGCTGCTATCAATTTTTTCACGTTTTTCCGTCGAATGACTGGACCATTAATAAAAATAACTTACGGATGTGATAATCAACCCAAAGAAAAAAAATTATGAAAATTTCAAAATGTGTTGGGTATATTTAAAAAATCAACCCCCACCCTTACCTCCTTTTCCTCTGGCCCTGGCCCTTCGCCGGGCCATCGTCCACCATCCACAGTGCCTCCTGCGCCTCGTGGATGAACTCCGCCGCGTCATTTTGGAGATTGCTGTGGGCCGTACCTATGGTCGCTGCCCTTCGGACACCCCGTATGCGGTAACCGCCACAGTCACACAACGCGATCGCCGGCGGTTCGTAAGGGCGGGGGGAGGCGGTTTTTTACACGGTTTTCGGCGGACGCGAAGACGAGGTGGCCTCTTTAGAACTAGTGAATCCGGCAAATCCTAATAACACACTGAAGAAGTCGAGTGTGCCTCTTCGCGGCACACGATGAATGTATTAATTAGATTTATAACGTTTTCTTTTGGTAGGTCGCCGGCTCGACCGCTAAAGTCGGAAGTGATGAGGAGTTTTGGTTATTTCTCTATTAATTAAGGCGATAAGTCATATATAATATTTTTTTTTTCTAAGATGCAACCTCTTCGTTGTTTCATATGACTGCTAGTCTGTCATTTTAAATTTTTATTCAGTAACATGTTCTAGTTTCAAACTGTAAAATTTTCGACATAGTTTTAGTACATTTACGCCAAAAACTTTAAAATAAACATAGAAAATAACCGAACTTTTTGAATTAATTACGCTCTAATTACTCCAGTCGAATTAGAATTTGCACATGAAAAAATTATTAGTAAGGGTATGTAGAATGGTAATATCAAAAAAGTAACTCGAAAAAATTGACGCTAAGTTGACAAATTGCAAATCAGTGGCAAATTTACGTGTTTTTTTTTTCACTTTTTTACTGCCCACGAAAATCTAGACGACCTATCGCAAAATTAGTCATTTTATGTTGAAGGCAATTAAATTACCTACAATTTAAAGTCATACTTCACCAATTTGTAAACTGTAAAATGAAGGTTTGAGGGTTGCTTTCGCTGTACAGCAAAAATAAAACGAGTCGGTCCTCGTGGTGTGGAGTCGTTTGTAGAAGTACCTGGTCCTTGGCGCCAATCTGTCGGGATCCTCTTCCGGGAACCCTGGTGCGTCCGAGCGGTGTCTCGCTGGCGCTCTTGACATTGTACTTAAAAATGGGTCACTTGCAACATGTGTATCCACATGTGTTGAACGCGGGAATACCAGTTTTTCGAAAATTGGGCATTATTATTGCAAAAAGCGATGGATGTTGATGAAATTTACGAAAAATACGGTCAATCCAAAGACCAATATATGTTCTAAAGGCTGATTCGATTGACCGTGTTGCTCCAAGTATTTGTTAATTAATATCGTTCGTTTTTTTTGCAACTAATTGTTTAACTAAACGTTAATTTTAGAGAAGTTAATGTCGTAGATATAGTTTCTAATTGATCCAAAGAAAAGATCGATATCGATATCGAAAAAGAGAAATTTCAACAAGTTGAAATTAAGTAGCCCTTTAAAAGTAACGAATTTGGACGTGCAAAACAGCGTTATAAACAAATTGTGACAGGGTCAGGCAAAAACCGCTCGGGAATTCACTCTTTTTGCATTAAATGAAACTTATTTTTACGGTAATTCTAAAAAAGAAATTAATCACCTGCGCCTCTTTATTCTCAATATAGATCTTTTATATATATCGTTAATTGTTAATTAACTACACACACAAAAAAAAATTTCTGTACTTTTCATTGCGACATACGTTGTCCATAGTATTTTTGCCTCCTGATCGCGAATCCGGTGTCATAATTGAGCTATCACATCACAGAAATGTCCTAATCTCAAATAACAGGTCAAAAATAGCAAAAGTTTACGAAAAAGTGCTAGGAAAAATAAAAAAAAAAATTTTTTTCTACATATATTCCAAAAAACGGGTCAATTAAGGTCAGATATCACGAAGTTTAAAAAAATAACACAATCGCGACAAATTTGGTATACGGGGGTTTTCTAGGTCACTGATCACGGATCCGAGGTCAATTTTGCAAAATTCAAGATGGCGGATCCAAGATGGCCGACCAAATTTTCAAAAAATTACAGATTCGCGCCAAATTTGGTATACTGGGGTATAAATAAATTTTCTAGAAACTAAAAAATTTTAAAAAACTCTTGTCTAACAGTTGCAGATTTGTAGGTGTTGGTAAATTGGCTTTGGACTTAAAACAAATTTCAGTTAAAAGTCAGATATCAAATCGAAATAATTATAATTTAAATAAAGAAAACAACACTAAATAATTAGTACCACCACTAGTACTACTACATTATTCTATAAATATCTACCACTGCCTTTTGGATCAAGGGCATTCAGTAATTTCTAACTTTTTTCCACTGCAACCTAACCTACCTTTAAAATATTGTCAGGTTCTAGTAAAACACACTTCCGTTATTACGCTGATCCTAGATGCTAGCTCAACCTATTATTATTTGAGTGTATTTCCAGAAATAATGTTCCATTTTCTTCTCTGATCGACTTACGGGGCTGAGCCGGCGGCCTATAATCTTTCTGCTCCGAGGAATATTTGGAATAACGGACTTCCTCGACTCCGGCGTTGTGCTGTGCGGCATGGGATGGCTACATTTCACAGTAGCATTGTTAGTTCGGATATAATTAGCTTTATGTATTTAATAAACATCGCTTATCTCCCGTACGAGTATACGGAGAGGTTCGTCGTCAGAACCGACTACGAACTCTCGTAGAGAAATTTCCTTGCTTAGCGGAACAGAAATATGGTAATTTTTTAGTACATGAACGAACTAAAGATAGGAAATATGTATGTAAGTAGATATTTACACAATGAAATGAAACAAAACGGAGCATTGCCTATTTTTCTACACTAAACTCTTCACATGGAACTCACCATATAGGTACAGTATGTACTGAAGCTTCGCATCGATCAATTTATTCGATACGTATCTAGCGGCACCCTAATGTTTGCCCTGTCTTTTCTGCGTTTGTGACTGAATGCTTTCAAAGTTTCCGATGTCTAGTAATAGCGGAAATGTATAAAGGAAACGTTAACTACCCTTTGTTGATTGTTTACTTGCGACTAAATCGTAAATTTTTCTCATTTCGAACTTCCTGAATTCCCCTCTTCAAATATCTAAGCCTTTGATCTTTCAATATATCCCTCAGATCGATAGACTTAGCTTCGAGGCACATCGTTTAAATTTAATATCTGCTTTCATTAAAGATTAACTCATTTTAAATAAGGCAGGATGTTAAATTAGTGGTGTTATTTATGTATATCTACCAGAAGCACAACTATTTCCATTTAATAGCAATTAATATGTATCATAGTGAAGAAAGTTTTATAACGGGTCTCGATAAGATCGTCGAAATGTCGAAATATTTATGGGAAGTTTATTCCCAAAACGTCTTTATGTGCTTAATTTATTGGTATCGGTGTGTATATGACGTTTTTAGTTATTAGGTGACTATATTTTATCTAATTTGCGTTTTAATGTAAGCCTCATTAATTTTCGTAAAAAAATTAACGTGCAAAGTAACAAAGCGGTATTCAGTCTATATCTAGACAGTATTGTATGAAAGTTGCAAATATAATCGTGCTTGTGGATGTTTTTATGGAAATTGAAGTCAATAGTTACAGTTGTTTTCATAATTGATACCTAAATGTCAGTTATTTTGCTATCAAAGGTACATAATTATGGAAAAGTTTAATCTGTAAGCCTGATTACGTTTCATTCAAGTTTGTGCAAAACTTTAGTTATTCTCATTCTATTGACGTATATTGAAGACTCACGTTTCACGAAGAAATTTCACGTTTCAAATAGAGAATCTTCGAAAGTGGTTGAAGTTTCAGGTGAAATTTATTTTAGCTGAAATCAAATATGTTTACAAAAATATATTTCTTCTGTATTTATCAACCCTTGCGAGCGTAAACGAAAACATTTTATTCTGCGGAAAATTATGGTTTTATTTTGTAGTTTCTTTTTATACTATTTTAAAAATTATTGAGATAGTAAAAAAAAATTCGGAACAAAATTGTATAAAACTGAAACACTAAATTGTTTTAGAACAAAATTCCATTTTTCTCAAGAATAGCTTTCTGTAGACGATTTTCTCAAGGGACACTATTTTTTTTAAATTAAAAAAAACTATCACCCAGTATATCGATTTGACTAAAACTTTAAGAAATAATACGCAATAACGTCCAAATAAATGTACCAAATTTTAACGCAATCGGTAAAAGGATTATGAAGTTATTACTTAAATTAGTTTTATTTTTGACAGATTAGCTTCCATTCTTGCACGCAAAGTACCATTTCTCGTTCTAGCTATAAAAATAACTATTTCAGTTCCAATTAACAAGTGTCTTTTTGACAGTTACGAAACACAATCAACATTTTGGCAGTTTTCAAACATTAAATAACTTTTTACGATCAAAACTATTCAGTGTCCTTCTAATTTCGACGCCACTGGCAACGGATTAGCTTTTGATCAGACTTTACGAGTAGGTAGGTAGCTTCTATGAAGAAACTAAACTGTATAGTTTTTCCGATATCAATTGAAGAACCAATAGATTGATAGTATGTACCAGGTTCGGTCGCTGACGCAACAACTCGGCATTGAAATATTTGAAAAACTTGTTCCCATATTTATTTAGCCATACCCATATACAGGTCTGGTCGAAGTAAACGCAGAGGTGGTAGAAATGTATACGCCCAGTTGAAGAATGCGAGCGCGGGCAAAGGAAAACGATCACAGTTGCATTGGGCTACTGGGCAATACATCACAGCAGATGACAAATGGTTGATAAATTGCCCAGCAGTGCAGTGCAGCAATGCGGAATTTGGTGTGATTCAGGTAATTTTAATTTATAGGCACCTTTTATCAATCATTCATATTACAATTGCGAAAGGGAGAAATAAGAGGAATATTTTGTTTACTAATATTATCACAACATGGCATTTTGGAGACCTTTTGAAACGGAACAAAGCGAAATTTACCACCAATATAATAAAATTGTTTGAGGACATAAATAATTAAAATATGTTGTTGGCCAAATGAACATATAGTAGAAATTTTCTACACATTATATACAAATGATTATAATTTTTTACCTTTAACAGGAAATTTTTTTAGGGACGCCTATGAAACTCATTAAATTTTATTACCAGACGTTTTTTGCATGTTCAACTGACTTCGGAAAGACTATACCAAATTTAGATGGTTCCTGAAATTTTTCTAGACTATTTTCTTGGAAGTTCCCATAAATTATCCTCTCGAAAAGTTATTTTTTTTTTATAGAATTCCCCAACCCCGTCAACTTGCCGCTCAGTTCACTTCCTGAAACACAATTAATCTTCCATTTCGATCCTTCGGAATTGCGAAAAAGCCAATTAAACCCTTTTCCGACAAGTTACCTCACAGCGGCTTCATTCGGACACGCATCGCGATCCCCATCAATAATAACAAACCAGTTTCACCCAGAAAGGCGGCGAGCCGTGCGATTGCGATTGCTGGCGTGAGCATTTCCTGCGGTTTTTTATTTCTGGACGCCATGGAACTCCTCTGGTGGAGCTAAATCGCGTGTGCGAAATGCTCGCATGCCTTCGAAAGCGCTTCGATTGCGGGAATTATCGAATCGTTTTGAGTTAATGAATTTATTTGGAGGGTTGGACATGGGCGTCGTCGGTGGGGCGCTTTCCATTGTCCAGAACTACACGCAAAAATGTACATAATAATTATGACAGTAGGTTTCTTTAAAAAAAACGTTCTACACTAATGCAAAAAATTAAAGGGTCAAAAGAAAATTTTCCGTGATTTCTGACAGACTGTATTTAGGTGAAAAATGGTCGTATCGGGGTCACATTTTTTGAGCTTAAACACTTCATAATCGTGATTAAACTGTTTTTTTTTAAGTTTTCTCATACATTTACCGCAAATAACGTTTAAATTGATGGAAAAACAAATTCGAAAAATTTTCGAAAAAAATTTAGTTTTTTTTTTTTTTTGTAAACCTTCCGGACATTGAAGAAAACAAAATCCAATTGTTTTTAGGACGATTCGGCTTTTTCGTCCTATGCTTCTGTTCATCAACTTTTAATTAAATTAAAATTAAAAGTTGATGACCCAAACCAGATTT